TGCAATCAATTATAAATAAATGTCACTCATATTTTATGTCAAATCCTAAATTGGACTCGAAGTATATTTACAATTACTACGCATTCATGTTAAAATTTACTTCAATAGACTATAAATTTGAACAAAAAAAAAATATGTACACTAATTTGAAATAAAATTTTATTTTAGCTGTTGTTCCAGGGAAAACTGATATGTATTACCCAACACATATAAACAGTCTAAAGTACAATTGTAATGACTAAATACTTACATGTTAAACATCCTAATGTGCCATCCACCATGAAACCATCTACATTGTGTGGGAGTGGAACATATCTGGGCTGTATGTGTTACAAAAAAAAAAAATTTAAATTAGCATCAGCTTTAGAGAATATTTAATGGCTGTTGAAAAAATTAAAAAATTAATGTGATTCACGTTTTATGTTAAATCTTAAATTACGGACAATTAATTTACAATTACTCTTTCATTCTTATTAAAATATACCACATTTGAAATTCAAATAAAAGATATTTTAGACCAATTTGTAATAAAATTTTAAGCTATTGTTTCAGTGAAAACAGATTTTTATTGACTTCCAAATATTAACATAGTTTTAAGTACAATTGTAATTACCAAATACTTACATGTTGACTCTTCCTATGTGCCATGAATCCATCTTCTTCTGTCTAGGAGTGCAACATATTTAGACTGTATCTTTAACAAAAACTATCACTTAATATCAGCTTGAGAGTCTATTTGCTGTTGCAATTTTTTCAGAATTTAATCTTTTGCATGTTGGACAAGAATATTTATAATTACTATACATTCCATTAAGAATATATTTCATTAGAATGTAAATTTGAAGAAAATATTTTTAGACCAATTTGTAATAAAGTTTCAAATTGGTTGATAATGAAATGGAGCCAGACAAAAAACTAAATACATTTCACCATAAACACAAGTTTTCATCATACTATGTAATCAGCTCTGTTGGGGGATCTGTTTTCACGAGATTAGCGCCCATTAAATTCATCAATGTTATATCAAAATCTAAAGTTTGCTCTCTGCAGAGGTCTGCTTTTACGAGACCCATTTTAACATAAAGCATCTTTTTGTCAAACTGTTCAGGAAAAAAATGGATTTTTATTACCTAACAAACATAAACATAGTTTTAAGAAAAATTGTAATGACCAAATACCTACATGTGCAACATCCTAATGTGCTATCTACAATGACAGCATCTTTCATGGTATAGGAGTGTTACATATTTAGGCTGTATAATCTGTAACAAAAACAAAAATTATAAATTAAGTTTCCGCTTTAAATCCAGACTTTTTGCTGTTGCAATCAATTCAGAAAATAATGTGATGCATGTTTTATGTTAAATCCCAAAAAGTATAAAAACAATTACTATACATTCTTATTAAAATATTCAGCATTAAAGTATAAATTTGAATGAAAGAAATTTTAGCCCAATTTGTTATAAAGCTTCAATCTGTTGTTTCAGAAAAAAACCAATTTTTATTACCTAACAAATATAAATATTGTTTTAAGAAAAAATTGTAATGACCAAATACCTACATGTGACTATTCCTAATGTGCATCTGCAATGGAAGCATCTTTCATGGCATAGGAGTCTTACATATTTAGGCTATCTGCAACGAAAAAAAAAAAAAATATACATTAATTTCAGCTTTTAATAAAGACTATTTGCTGATGCAATCAATTCAGAACTTAATGTGATGCATGTTTTATGTCAAATCCTTCATTGGAGACAAGAATTTTTACAACCACCATACAAAACCAAGAGTTCCAAATGGTAAAGTTGAAATCATCACTTCGTGTTCCTTATGTCGTAACTACAATCCCATTCCCTTTTCACGAATGTGACCTACTGAATTAAGACTATTTACGAGCTTTGTTATAACATGAGCAACACGACGGGTGCCACATGTGAAGCAGAATCTGCTTACCCTTCCGGAGCACCTGAGATCACACTCCGTTTTTGGTGGGGTTCGTGTTGCTGTTGTACCCCTATTTGTGACATGTTTACCTATTGTGTCGGTTTGTTTTGTTCACACATCACTGTCAATATAATGGAATTTGATGAGACTGTCATACAAGCGAGAAGTTTAGCTAACTTTAAAACCAGGTTTAATCCACCATTTTCTACATAAGAAAATGCCTGTACAAAGTCAGGAATATAACAGTTGTTATCCATTCATTTGATGTGTTTGAGCGTTTGATTTTGCCATTTGATTAGGGCTTTCCGTTTTGAATTCTTATTAAAATATATCTCATTACAGTGAATATTTCAATAAATGAAATGTAGGACCAATTTGTAATAAAATTTCAAGCTGTTGTTCCAGGAAAAACTGATTTTTATTACCTAACAAATATAAACATAGTTTTTAAGAACAATTGTTATGAATAAATACTTACATGTGACTAATCCTAATATGCTATCTGCAATGGAAGCATCTTTCATGGTACAGGAGTCTTACATATTTAGGCTATCTGTAACAAAAACAAATATTTGAAATTAGTTACAGCTTCAAAATTAAAGCTATTTGCTGTTGCAATCAATTCAGAAATTAATGTGATGCATGTTTTATGTCAAATCCTAAATTGGAGACGTATATCTACAATACCTATACATTCTTATTAAAATATACTTCATTAGGATATAAATAAAAATAAAAGAAATTTTAAACCAATTTGTTATAAAGCTTCAATCTGTTGTTTCAGTGAAAACTGATTTTTAATGCCTAACAAATATAAACCTAGTTTAAAGAAAAAAATTGTAATGAATAAATACATACATGTAACTAATCCTAATGTGCTATATACAATGAAACCATCTCATTGTCGAAGAGTAACATATTTAGGCTGTATCTGTATGAAAAACAAAAATTGTAAATTAGTATCAGCTTTAAATAGGGAATATTTGCTATTGCAATCAATTCAGAAATTAATGTGATGCATGTTTTGTCAAATCCTAAATTTGAGACTTAGTATATTTACAATTACTTAACTTATTACAGTAAATATTTGAATAAAAGAAATATTAGACAAATTTGTAATAAAATTTTAAATGGTTGTTCAAGGGGAAAACTGATTTTTGTTACCTTCCACATATAAAAAGATATAAAAGTACAATTATAATGACCAAATACTTACATGATATGTATCTTCGTGTGCTATATACCATGAAAGCATCTTCATTGTCAAGGAATGTAACATATCTAGTCTGTATCTAACAAAAACAAAAATTCTAAATCAGTATCAGCTTTAAATAGAGAATATTGATTGTTGCAATTAATTCAAAATTAATATGATTCGTTTTTTATGACAAATCCTAATTTGAAGACAAGTATATAAACAATTTCTATACATTATCATTAAACTTATCTTCATAAGAGTATAAATTTGAATAAAAGAAATTTAAAACCAATTTGTAATCAAATCTAATTTAAGCTGTTGTTCCAGGGAAAACTGATTTTTGTTACCTGCAAACCATATAAACATAGTTTAAGGAACAATTAAAAATACCAAATACTTACATGCTATGTCTCCAGATGAGTGATCAACCTACCATGAAACCATCTTCATTGTCTAGGAGTGTAACATATTTAGGCTGTATCTAAAAATATCAAATTCGAGTCTAAAATGTCATTTCCAGTCTTAGATTATAGTGAGTACCGATTCAAAAAAATATATGGTTTCTATACACTTTTGTCCGAAATAAGGGAGATAATTTGATACTTCCGGTTTAGAAAAATATTACTTCTTGTATAATATGATAGGTTACTTGACACGGATTCCAAAAATATATGGTTCACACAAGGTCACTTCTGGTTGGCTTTTTCAAGGTCATATGGCTTGCAACCTAATGCAAGAAGTTCTTTGGCTCTATCATTTATAAACATAAAGTTAATGCTAAGGTCAAAATCTAAAACGTCAAATTTACCTATGCCCTTGACCTATATTTCAAGTTCATAAAGTAAGGACCTCAAATAAAAAACCCTAGGTCTCTACTAAATATGGTTAATGAGTAATATCATCATACAACTAGCTTTAAATATGAGAGGGGAAGAAACTCCCATTTCATGTCAACGTACGCGTTCAACCAAAAATCGTGTTACGACAGTTTGCATATAACAATTTAGTAAAAATATTTTGTCAATATCTTATACGGCCTCTGATAAGAAATAAGTCAAAATAAAAATTTAGAAGAGGACCTTGACCTTTGACCTTGACCTAAATTTTCTTTAAGTTGACCAATGACCTCAAACCAAAACACCCTAGGTCTCCATCACTTATGGTTTACAAGTTACAAATACATATCACTTATTTCAAATACATAAGGGGGAATAACTCTCATATGGAGTCTTCGCAACGCTTCAGCCAAAATGAAACGTAACATCCAGGATATAATGAATAATTTGAAATAATAAATTAGTCGGTTTCTTCTAAGGTTGCGAAGAATAAGAAATATCAAGAAAAACAGTGTTCGGGGAGATAACTTTTACATAGAAAAGTATTCGGTTAAGCGGTGTCAGTTTCAAGAGCGTATAAACTGTTTGATATCATATACCAAATATCTAAGCGACATCTTGCAAAACAACCAAACAGTGAAGGAAAAAAATTAGGCGGAAGAAAAAACAAATTATAATAATCAGAACAAAAGCATTAAGTCTTTTCACGGAAAAGTGGAAAGACTTTACCAGCTTCAAATAGAGACTATTGGCTGTTGCAATCAATTATAAATAAATGTCACTCATATTTTATGTCAAATCCTAAATTGGACTCGAAGTATATTTACAATTACTACGCATTCATGTTAAAATTTACTTCAATAGACTATAAATTTGAACAAAAAAAAAATATGTACACTAATTTGAAATAAAATTTTATTTTAGCTGTTGTTCCAGGGAAAACTGATATTTATTACCCAACACATATAAACAGTCTAAAGTACAATTGTAATGACTAAATACTTACATGTTAAACATCCTAATGTGCCATCTACCATGAAACCATCTACATTGTGTGGGAGTGGAACATATCTGGGCTGTATGTGTTACAAAAAAAAAAATTTAAATTAGCATCAGCTTTAGATAGAGAATATTTAATGGCTGTTGAAAAAATTAAAAAATTAATGTGATTCACGTTTTATGTTAAATCTTAAATTACGGACAATTAATTTACAATTACTCTTTCATTCTTATTAAAATATACCACATTTGAAATTCGAATAAAAGATATTTTAGACCAATTTGTAATAAAATTTTAAGCTATTGTTTCAGTGAAAACAGATTTTTATTGACTTCCAAATATTAACATAGTTTTAAGTACAATTGTAATTACCAAATACTTACATGTTGACTCTTCCTATGTGCCATGAATCCATCTTCTTCTGTCTAGGAGTGCAACATATTTAGGCTGTATCTTTAACAAAAACTATCACTTAATATCAGCTTGAGAGTCTATTTGCTGTTGCAATTTTTTCAGAATTTAATCTTTTGCATGTTGGACAAGAATATTTATAATTACTATACATTCCATTAAGAATATATTTCATTAGAATGTAAATTTGAAGAAAATATTTTTAGACCAATTTGTAATAGTTTCAAATTGGTTGATAATGAAATGGAGCCAGACAAAAAACTAAATACATTTTACCATAAACACAAGTTTTCATCATACTATGTAATCAGTTCTGTTGGGGGATCTGTTTTCACCAGATAAGCGCCCATTAAATTCATCAATGTTATATCAAAATCTAAAGTTTGCTCTCTGCAGAGGTCTGCTTTTACGAGACCCATTTTAACATAAAGCATCTTTTTGTCAAACTGTTCAGGAAAAAAATGGATTTTTATTACCTAACAAACATAAACATAGTTTTAAGAAAAATTGTAATGACCAAATACCTACATGTGCAACATCCTAATGTGCTATCTACAATGACAGCATCTTTCATGGTATAGGAGTGTTACATATTTAGGCTGTATAATCTGTAACAAAAACAAAAATTATAAATTAAGTTTCCGCTTTAAATCCAGACTTTTTGCTGTTGCAATCAATTCAGAAAATAATGTGATGCATGTTTTATGTTAAATCCCAAAAAGTATAAAAACAATTACTATACATTCTTATTAAAATATTCAGCATTAAAGTATAAATTTGAATGAAAGAAATTTTAGCCCAATTTGTTATAAAGCTTCAATCTGTTGTTTCAGAAAAAAACCAATTTTTATTACCTAACAAATATAAATATTGTTTTAAGAAAAAATTGTAATGACCAAATACCTACATGTGACTATTCCTAATGTGCATCTGCAATGGAAGCATCTTTCATGGCATAGGAGTCTTACATATTTAGGCTATCTGCAACGAAAAAAAAAAAAAATATACATTAATTTCAGCTTTTAATAAAGACTATTTGCTGATGCAATCAATTCAGAACTTAATGTGATGCATGTTTTATGTCAAATCCTTCATTGGAGACAAGAATTTTTACAACCACCATACAAAACCAAGAGTTCCAAATGGTAAAGTTGAAATCATCACTTCGTGTTCCTTATGTCGTAACTACAATCCCATTCCCTTTTCACGAATGTGACCTACTGAATTAAGACTATTTACGAGCTTTGTTATAACATGAGCAACACGACGGGTGCCACATGTGAAGCAGAATCTGCTTACCCTTCCGGAGCACCTGAGATCACACTCCGTTTTTGGTGGGGTTCGTGTTGCTGTTGTACCCCTATTTGTGACATGTTTACCTATTGTGTCGGTTTGTTTTGTTCACACATCACTGTCAATATAATGGAATTTGATGAGACTGTCATACAAGCGAGAAGTTTAGCTAACTTTAAAACCAGGTTTAATCCACCATTTTCTACATAAGAAAATGCCTGTACAAAGTCAGGAATATAACAGTTGTTATCCATTCATTTGATGTGTTTGAGCGTTTGATTTTGCCATTTGATTAGGGCTTTCCGTTTTGAATTCTTATTAAAATATATCTCATTACAGTGAATATTTCAATAAATGAAATGTAGGACCAATTTGTAATAAAATTTCAAGCTGTTGTTCCAGGAAAAACTGATTTTTATTACCTAACAAATATAAACATAGTTTTTAAGAACAATTGTTATGAATAAATACTTACATGTGACTAATCCTAATATGCTATCTGCAATGGAAGCATCTTTCATGGTACAGGAGTCTTACATATTTAGGCTATCTGTAACAAAAACAAATATTTGAAATTAGTTACAGCTTCAAAATTAAAGCTATTTGCTGTTGCAATCAATTCAGAAATTAATGTGATGCATGTTTTATGTCAAATCCTAAATTGGAGACGTATATCTACAATACCTATACATTCTTATTAAAATATACTTCATTAGGATATAAATAAAAATAAAAGAAATTTTAAACCAATTTGTTATAAAGCTTCAATCTGTTGTTTCAGTGAAAACTGATTTTTAATGCCTAACAAATATAAACCTAGTTTAAAGAAAAAAATTGTAATGAATAAATACATACATGTAACTAATCCTAATGTGCTATATACAATGAAACCATCTCATTGTCGAAGAGTAACATATTTAGGCTGTATCTGTATGAAAAACAAAAATTGTAAATTAGTATCAGCTTTAAATAGGGAATATTTGCTATTGCAATCAATTCAGAAATTAATGTGATGCATGTTTTGTCAAATCCTAAATTTGAGACTTAGTATATTTACAATTACTTAACTTATTACAGTAAATATTTGAATAAAAGAAATATTAGACAAATTTGTAATAAAATTTTAAATGGTTGTTCAAGGGGAAAACTGATTTTTGTTACCTTCCACATATAAAAAGATATAAAAGTACAATTATAATGACCAAATACTTACATGATATGTATCTTCGTGTGCTATATACCATGAAAGCATCTTCAATGTCAAGGAATGTAACATATCTAGTCTGTATCTAACAAAAACAAAAATTCTAAATCAGTATCAGCTTTAAATAGAGAATATTGATTGTTGCAATTAATTCAAAATTAATATGATTCGTTTTTTATGACAAATCCTAATTTGAAGACAAGTATATAAACAATTTCTATACATTATCATTAAACTTATCTTCATAAGAGTATAAATTTGAATAAAAGAAATTTAAAACCAATTTGTAATCAAATCTAATTTAAGCTGTTGTTCCAGGGAAAACTGATTTTTGTTACCTGCAAACCATATAAACATAGTTTAAGGAACAATTAAAAATACCAAATACTTACATGCTATGTCTCCAGATGAGTGATCAACCTACCATGAAACCATCTTCATTGTCTAGGAGTGTAACATATTTAGGCTGTATCTAAAAATATCAAATTCGAGTCTAAAATGTCATTTCCAGTCTTAGATTATAGTGAGTAACGATTCAAAAAAATATATGGTTTCTATACACTTTTGTTCGAAATAAGGGAGATAATTTGATACTTCCGGTTTAGAAAAATATTACTTCTTGTATAATATGATAGGTTACTTGACACGGATTCCAAAAATATATGGTTCACACAAGGTCACTTCTGGTTGGCTTTTTCAAGGTCATATGGCTTGCAACCTAATGCAAGAAGTTCTTTGGCTCTATCATTTATAAACATAAAGTTAATGCTAAGGTCAAAATCTAAAACGTCAAATTTACCTATGCCCTTGACCTATATTTCAAGTTCATAAAGTAAGGACCTCAAATAAAAAACCCTAGGTCTCTACTAAATATGGTTAATGAGTAATATCATCATACAACTAGCTTTAAATATGAGAGGGGAAGAAACTCCCATTTCATGTCAACGTACGCGTTCAACCAAAAATCATGTGTTACGACAGTTTGCATATAACAATTTAGTAAAAATATTTTGTCAATATCTTATACGGCCTCTGATAAGAAATAAGTCAAAATAAAAATTTAGAAGAGGACCTTGACCTTTGACCTTGACCTAAATTTTCTTTAAGTTGACCAATGACCTCAAACCAAAACACCCTAGGTCTCCATCACTTATGGTTTACAAGTTACAAATACATATCACTTATTTCAAATACATAAGGGGGAATAACTCTCATATGGAGTCTTCGCAACGCTTCAGCCAAAATGAAACGTAACATCCAGGATATAATGAATAATTTGAAATAATAAATTAGTCGGTTTCTTCTAAGGTTGCGAAGAATAAGAAATATCAAGAAAAACAGTGTTCGGGGAGATAACTTTTACATAGAAAAGTATTCGGTTAAGCGGTGTCAGTTTCAAGAGCGTATAAACTGTTTGATATCATATACCAAATATCTAAGCGACATCTTGCAAAACAACCAAACAGTGAAGGAAAAAAATTAGGCGGAAGAAAAAACAAATTATAATAATCAGAACAAAAGCATTAAGTCTTTTCACGGAAAAGTGGAAAGACTTTACCAGCTTCAAATAGAGACTATTGGCTGTTGCAATCAATTATAAATAAATGTCACTCATATTTTATGTCAAATCCTAAATTGGACTCGAAGTATATTTACAATTACTACGCATTCATGTTAAAATTTACTTCAATAGACTATAAATTTGAACAAAAAAAAAATATGTACACTAATTTGAAATAAAATTTTATTTTAGCTGTTGTTCCAGGGAAAACTGATATTTATTACCCAACACATATAAACAGTCTAAAGTACAATTGTAATGACTAAATACTTACATGTTAAACATCCTAATGTGCCATCTACCATGAAACCATCTACATTGTGTGGGAGTGGAACATATCTGGGCTGTATGTGTTACAAAAAAAAAAATTTAAATTAGCATCAGCTTTAGATAGAGAATATTTAATGGCTGTTGAAAAAATTAAAAAATTAATGTGATTCACGTTTTATGTTAAATCTTAAATTACGGACAATTAATTTACAATTACTCTTTCATTCTTATTAAAATATACCACATTTGAAATTCGAATAAAAGATATTTTAGACCAATTTGTAATAAAATTTTAAGCTATTGTTTCAGTGAAAACAGATTTTTATTGACTTCCAAATATTAACATAGTTTTAAGTACAATTGTAATTACCAAATACTTACATGTTGACTCTTCCTATGTGCCATGAATCCATCTTCTTCTGTCTAGGAGTGCAACATATTTAGGCTGTATCTTTAACAAAAACTATCACTTAATATCAGCTTGAGAGTCTATTTGCTGTTGCAATTTTTTCAGAATTTAATCTTTTGCATGTTGGACAAGAATATTTATAATTACTATACATTCCATTAAGAATATATTTCATTAGAATGTAAATTTGAAGAAAATATTTTTAGACCAATTTGTAATAGTTTCAAATTGGTTGATAATGAAATGGAGCCAGACAAAAAACTAAATACATTTTACCATAAACACAAGTTTTCATCATACTATGTAATCAGTTCTGTTGGGGGATCTGTTTTCACCAGATAAGCGCCCATTAAATTCATCAATGTTATATCAAAATCTAAAGTTTGCTCTCTGCAGAGGTCTGCTTTTACGAGACCCATTTTAACATAAAGCATCTTTTTGTCAAACTGTTCAGGAAAAAAATGGATTTTTATTACCTAACAAACATAAACATAGTTTTAAGAAAAATTGTAATGACCAAATACCTACATGTGCAACATCCTAATGTGCTATCTACAATGACAGCATCTTTCATGGTATAGGAGTGTTACATATTTAGGCTGTATAATCTGTAACAAAAACAAAAATTATAAATTAAGTTTCCGCTTTAAATCCAGACTTTTTGCTGTTGCAATCAATTCAGAAAATAATGTGATGCATGTTTTATGTTAAATCCCAAAAAGTATAAAAACAATTACTATACATTCTTATTAAAATATTCAGCATTAGAGTATAAATTTGAATGAAAGAAATTTTAGCCCAATTTGTTATAAAGCTTCAATCTGTGGTTTCAGAAAAAAACCAATTTTTATTACCTAACAAATATAAATATTGTTTTAAGAAAAAATTGTAATGACCAAATACCTACATGTGACTATTCCTAATGTGCATCTGCAATGGAAGCATCTTTCATGGCATAGGAGTCTTACATATTTAGGCTATCTGCAACGAAAACAAAAAAAAATATACATTAATGTCAGCTTTTAATCCAGACTATTTGCTGTTGCAATCAATTCAGAACTTAATGTGATGCATGTTTTATGTCAAATCCTTCATTGGAGACAAGAATTTTTACAATCACCATACAAAACCAAGATTTCCAAATGGTAAAGTTGAAATCATCACTTCGTGTTCCTTATGTCGTAACTACAATCCCATTCCCTTTTCACGAATGTGACCTACCGAATTAGACTATTTACCAGCTTTGTTATAACATGAGCAACACGACGGGTGCAACATGTGGAGCAGAATCTGCTTACCCTTCCGGAGCACCTGAGATCACACCCCGTTTTTGGTGGGGTTCGTGTTGCTGTTGTACCCCTATTTGTGACATGTTTACCTATTGTGTCGGTTTGTTTTGTTCACACATCACTGTCAATATAATGGAATTTGATGAGACTGTCATACAAGCGAGAAGTTTAGCTAACTTTAAAGCCAGGTTTAATCCACCATTTTCTACATAAGAAAATGCCTGTACAAAGTCAGGAATATAACAGTTGTTATCCATTCATTTGATGTGTTTGAGCTTTTGATTTTGCCATTTGATTAGGGCTTTCCGTTTTGAATTCTTATTAAAATATATCTCATTACAGTGAATATTTCAATAAATGAAATGTAGGACCAATTTGTAATAAAATTTCAAGCTGTTGTTCCAGGAAAAACTGATTTTTATTACCTAACAATATAAACATAGTTTTTAAGAACAATTGTTATGAATAAATACTTACATGTGACTAATCCTAATATGCTATCTGCAATGGAAGCATCTTTCATGGTATAGGAGTCTTACATATTTAGGCTATCTGTAACAAAAACAAATATTTGAAATTAGTTACAGCTTCAAAATAAAAGCTATTTGCTGTTGCAATCAATTCAGAAATTAATGTGATGCATGTTTTATGTCAAATCCTAAATTGGAGACGTATATCTACAATACCTATACATTCTTATTAAAATATACTTCATTAGGATATAAATAAAAATAAAAGAAATTTTAAACCAATTTGTTATAAAGCTTCAATCTGTTGTTTCAGTGAAAACTGATTTTTAATGCCTAACAAATATAAACCTAGTTTAAAGAAAAAAATTGTAATGAATAAATACATACATGTAATTAATCCTAATGTGCTATATACAATGAAACCATCTCATTGTCGAAGAGTAACATATTTAGGCTGTATCTATATGAAAAACAAAAATTGTAAATTAGTATCAGCTTTAAAAAGGGAATATTTGCTATTGCAATCAATTCAGAAATTAATGTGATGCATGTTTTGTCAAATCCTAAATTTGAGACTTAGTATATTTACAATTACTTAACTTATTACAGTAAATATTTGAATAAAAGAAATATTAGACAAATTTGTAATAAATTTTAAATGGTTGTTCAAGGGGAAAACTGATTTTTGTTACCTTCCACATATAAAAAGATATAAAAGTACAATTATAATGACCAAATACTTACATGATATGTATCTTCGTGTGCTATATACCATGAAAGCATCTTCATTGTCAAGGAATGTAACATATCTAGTCTGTATCTAACAAAAACAAAAATTCTAAATCAGTATCAGCTTTAAATAGAGAATATTGATTGTTGCAATTAATTCAAAATTAATATGATTCGTTTTTTATGACAAATCCTAATTTGAAGACAAGTATATAAACAATTTCTATACATTATCATTAAACTTATCTTCATAAGAGTATAAATTTGAATAAAAGAAATTTAAAACCAATTTGTAATCAAATCTAATTTAAGCTGTTGTTCCAGGGAAAACTGATTTTTGTTACCTGCAAACCATATAAACATAGTTTAAGGAACAATTAAAAATACCAAATACTTACATGCTATGTCTCCAGATGAGTGATCAATCTACCATGAAACCATCTTCATTGTCTAGGAGTGTAACATATTTAGGCTGTATCTAAAAATATCAAAATCGAGTCTAAAATGTCATTTCCAGTCTTAGATTATAGTGAGTGCCGCAGTGTTCTCCCAAGGCCCTTAAAGGACGGCGATGTATAATTTTTCACCGTGGTGGTATCGTTCTTACCGCGATGTATAATTTTTCTTCGTGGTGCTAAAATTTTCAGTTAAAAAATCGTAAATCGGTAAAGTTTTAAACGACTTGTTAAATCTTTTCCATGCGGTATAAAATTCCAGGTGAAATTTGACCAGTACAAACCAGTTCAACACAGATTGTTTAAACCACGTGATCGATTTACCTTTATGAGGTTAACCTTTGTTGATTATATTTAATCGATGTAATTAACACTTTTGACATGATTCTTTTGTGTTTTAATTTAGAGATCATAACTTTATGATCAAAGATAACTATTTTAAGGCTTCACTCACCACCTGACAAGTCGGCAAATACTTTGTAAACAAACGGTGTTGACCTGATAGTTGTACACACGACGGTACATATTTTGTACATTATAAAGTTAGCTCAATACTTATATTATAGTTTTATATGTCTCTGATTAAACCATGGCCAAATTTATCTTTAATTATGACATAGTTATTGCATGATATTCCGGTTTCAAACTGTCAACAAGTAATTCAAAGGGGAAGGATCACATGACCCAGTTAGTTCACGTAGAATATTCAAGATTATTTACAATTAACTGCAATCTATTCTATTTTATAAATAAAATGCATGACTGTACCTTCAAACTGGATATATATATCCATATGATCATAAATGAATAACAGAAGTGATCTTGCAATTTTAATCCATAAGCACATGTTAAATCTATTTATATCTACTTCCTGTCATTTAGGCGGGAAAATAGGGAGACTTTGTTGTTGACATTGAATATGCTACTTATAGATCTATAGACCTAAGATAAATTTATAGATTTAGGAATTCTTTTTAAATGGATCATGATTTAGATTTCAGTGCAGTATTAAGTCTGTATCTATGTTTGATTATCACCAAAGACAAGAAAGGTTAATATTTACATGTTCATGAAATCTATGGCAAAATGTTTTAAAATTTATGAAAAATTTCTTTTTATTAAAATTTAAGATAGAAACTGGTTCAAATTATTACACAATTTTGTTCTTGTTAATTTTAAATCTCCTTATGACAGGAATCCTTTCACATACAACAACTTTCTTTCTAGAAACTAGAAAGTTTTTTAAATTGAACATTTTTGTTCTCTTTTGAATCTGGAAACAGTATATCTAACAATTTATATGTTCCTGTTTGAATGATATTTTATTTTTATTGATCATGGATTTTTTAAAAAATTTAATTACTTTAAATTTAGATGAATATTATGTAATGAATCATGTTTTATTTATTTTTAAAAATATTAAAAGTATACAAACTGTTTATTGATCTTTTTAACCAATAATATTCTGTTATAACACAGTACCACAGAATTAAAACTAAACAAGAGACATAAAAACTGCAATAACTAGAAATATAGTGACGCAACGCGACACAACTGATTGTATGAATCATTTCACCAAGCTGTTCACACGCGTTACCCTGGTGCTATCCAAAAATCCTGGGGAGAACACTGTGCCGATTCAAAAAAATATATGGTTTCTATCCACTTTCCGAAATAAGGGAGATAATTTGATACTTCCGGTTTAGAAAAATATAACTTCTTGTATAATATGATAGGTTACTTGACACGGATTCCAAAAATATATGGTTCTATATACTTTTACATTAAATAAGCACAAAAAATAGCTACTTCCGGTTCACACAAGGTCACTTCTGGTTGGCTTTTTCAAGGTCATATGGCTTGCAACCTAATGCAAGAAGTTCTTTGGCTCTATCATTTATAAAAATAAAGTTAATGCTAAGGTCAAAATCTAGAACGTCAAATTTACCTATGCCCTTGACCTATATTTCAAGTTCATAAAGTAAGGACCTCAAATAAAAAAAAACCTAGGTCTCTACTAAATATGGTTAATGAGTAATATCATCATACAACTAGTTTTAAATATGAGAGGGGAAGAAACTTTCATTTTATGTCAACGTACGCGTTCAACCAAAAATCATGTTTTACAACAGTTTGCATATAACAATTTAGTAAAAATATTTTGTCAATATCTTATACGGCCTCTGATAAGAAATAAGCCAAAATAAAAAATTTAGATGACCTTGACCTTTGACCTTGACCTAAATTTTCTTTAAGTTGACCAATGACCTCAAACCAAAACACCCTAGGTCTCTATCACTTATGGTTCACAAGTTACAAATACATATCACTTATTTCAAATACATAAGGGGGAATAACTCTCATATGGAGTCTTCGCAACGCTTCAGTCAAAATGAAACGTAACATCCAGGATATAACGAGTAATTTGAAAAAATAAATTAGTTTCTTCTAAGGTTGCGAAGAATAAGAAATATCAAGAAAAAGTGTTCGGGGAGATAACTCTTACATAGAAAAGTATTCGGTTAAGCGGTGTCAGTTTCAAGAGCGTATAAACTGTTTGATATCATATACCAAATATCTAAGCGACATCTTGCAAAACAACCAAACAGTGAAGGAAAAAAATTAGGTGGAAGAAAAAACAAATTATAATAATCAGAACAAAAGCATTAAGTCTTTTCACGGAAAAGTGGAAAGACTTTACCAGCTTCAAATAGAGACTATTGGCTGTTGCAATCAATTATAAATAAATGTCACTCATATTTTATGTCAAATCCTAAATTGGACTCGAAGTATATTTACAATTACTACGCATTCATGTTAAAATTTACTTCAATAGACTATAAATTTGAACAAAAAAAAAATATGTACACTAATTTGAAATAAAATTTTATTTTAGCTGTTGTTCCAGGGAAAACTAATATTTATTACCCAACACATATAAACAGTCTAAAGTACAATTGTAATGACTAAATACTTACATGTTAAACATCCTAATGTTCCATCTACCATGAAACCATCTACATTGTGTGGGAGTGGAACATATCTGGGCTGTATGTGTTACAAAAGAAAAAATTTAAATTAGCATCAGCTTTAGATAGAGAATATTTAATGGCTGTTGAAAAAATTAAAAAATTAATGTGATTCACGTTTTATGTTAAATCTTAAATTACGGACAATTAATTTACAATTACTCTTTCATTCTTATTAAAATATACCACATTTGAAATTCGAATAAAAGATATTTTAGACCAATTTGTAATAAAATTTTAAGCTATTGTTTCAGTGAAAACAGATTTTTATTGACTTCCAAATATTAACATAGTTTTAAGTACAATTGTAATTACCAAATACTTACATGTTGACTCTTCCTATGTGCCATGAATCCATCTTCTTCTGTCTAGGAGTGCAACATATTTAAGCTGTAAGCTTAACAAAAACTATCACTTAATATCAGCTTGAGAGTCTATTTGCTGTTGCAATTTTTTCAGAATTTAATCTTTTGCATGTTGGACAAGAATATTTATAATTACTATACATTCCACTAAGAATTTATTTCATTAGAGTCTAAATTGTAATGATCAAATACTTACATGTTGACTTGTCTAAGAGTGCAACATATTTAGGCTGTATCTTCAATAAAAATTATCAACTAATATCATCTTTAAATAATTAGAGACTATTTGCTGTTGAAATTTTTCAGAATTTAATCTTATTTTAAATCACTGGAAATAGAAAGAAGCCAATTATGAAAATCTATTTTGGTGCACCAGCCATGAGCCTTGATTATCAAATGTAAACAAATTGGTAAAAAATAGATTAAATACATTAAAATAAAATCTTCTATACACTTTCAATGAACAAACTCATTTATACTCTGGAGAAACTATAACAAGTCTTGGGTCAAAGTCATTCCAATGTTTTAATGCATGAACATTAATCAATGCAACTATCAAAAACATGATTTCATCATAAGACATCATTAAAGAGGTCAATAATGAAAAAGTTCTTTGAATGAGCTAGTTCCAGTGGTCCCTAGTCCCATTCAACTTGGATATTTTGTCACAAGTCTTCAGTCCAGGTGTAGTGTTTGTGCAATATATAGTATCTTAACAGAGTTGAGATGAGTAAAATTATTTTCAATCAAAATATTCTTTACAAGTTTGTAAAAATACATTACATTGTAATATATGGTCTATGATGTAGGATACACCTAGAAGTTAGTGTGCTTATAAGGATCCATGCTGTTACAATGTTTTGTTAAAAGAAATGGCATCCTACATCATAACCAGTTTTCTGAAAAATGAAAAAGTTATCTTTAATTGATGTAAACATGGCTATGGGTAATGTCATATTAGAAAAGTTTAAAATTTCTTCAAGTTATCATTTTAAAGAAATGCTGAAGAAGAAAAAAAAAAATTTCTATCAAAATTTTGTACGAAGAAACAAGATTAAGAAAAGGCATACACATAAAATAACTCATTGAAATAAATGTCTTATATATGCATATGGAAATAAATATAATTAAAAATAATTTAAACTAGTTTTAAATGTTTTATAATGGATATCCCCCATTTGAAACAACTTAACAGAAATAAGACGGGAAAAATATTTATTAAGGCAATTTTGTAATTTTATGCAAAACCAAATCATGAAAATTAAAGTTAGCTGACTTTGGATAAAACAATGATCAATGTTTCACACAAAGTAATAACATCAATGTGATTAGAGTTATCTCCCATTGATCTGGTCTGAACTTCATGAAAACGACTACCATTCACTTTTAAAAAATTTTGTCTTTTCAATAATTTTTTTCGATTCATGGTGATTAAGAACTTGAAATACTGAAGTATTTTTTCTTCAGTTAACACAATAACTTCAGTATCTTGTGATATGAATGGTGCAACAAAAAATTACTCACCATGTATAACTAGACTGTATTCTTACCACACTGTTTGGTTATTGCAGAGATAGCAGCATTACCTTTACATTGCCTACTCTAAACCTTAGGTTGTTCGAATTTTCTGCTAGTTATTGGATTTCTCTAAAATATCAAATTTGAATATATACAAATGTTGGAAAAGAATGGAAACTAAGCTTAATCCTGATTTCAACAATGATTTTGTTTACTAGACCATAAATTTAGATATGATCCAGCTAAACAAATGTAAGTGCAACCTCGACTGAGGGGCAGGGTCAAATAATCGATCTCCATAGAGATGAGATGTGCCAATGCTAATACAACTGCCTACAAAATATAATTGACCTACCACTTGTGGTTCCCAATGGATTGACCTAATCACAAACTAATACATTGTTGATGCCGTCTATGTCTTGCTTTTCAACTCCGTCTATGTCTTGCTTTTCAACTCCGTCAATGTGAGACAATAAAACTTACAAATACTAACATCTGCAAAAGTTCATATCATTTGACTAATGTTAAGGAAAACAGGATAAGACATTCAATGATTTTCAACTAACAATTGTCATCAATGTACAGATGCAAAGAGTTATTCTAAAATGCACACAAAGTTGAGCATGGGAGCACATAGGTCTATGGTTCACTGTAAAAGTGAAAACTTCCTAGCATTCAAACTGTAGGTGTTATCTGGAATAGCTATATACTCATAATGGGATTGACGGAAGGACTGAAAGGGGTAAGACAATTCCCCCCCCCCCCCTTTCAAATCTTCCTTTAATTGAAATCTCAAAGATGTAATTTAAATGCCATATTATATATCAGCTTGGTCTCATAAAGGAACACTGTCAAATCAAGTCATCTTTCCTTTCTGAGAATAAAAATAATAAAACTGTTATCACAGAGATATGTCTCACTTTTTTGTAATTTTAATAATGCAAATGTTGAAATTAAAATAGCAATACAGTAACTTTAACATGTAACTTATGCAAATATTCAAAGTCAATGAACCATGACTGAAGGTACATGGCTAAACAATCTCCATGGAATGAGTTGTGCCAATGCTAATACAACTGCATACCAAATACCATTGACTTATTATAAGTCATTCCCTTTAAACAAACCTAAACACAGACATTAACTTGTAAACTATGTAAAAGTTTAAAAGTCAATGAACCATGATCAGTGGTGGGGCTATATAATCTCCATGGAAACGATACTTGCAAATGCCAATAAATTTGCATACCAAATATCAATGACTTAACATTAGCAGTTCATCTTAAACTGATCTAATCACAAACTAATACATGTAAACTAAGCAAAAGTTTCAAAGTAAATAGACCATGACTGAGGGGGCGGGGCCAAATGTTCTTCATGGAAATGAGATGTGATAATGCTTATACAACTGAACACCAATTAACATTGGCCTACCACTAATGGTTCCGCTTGAACTGACCTAATCACAAACTAAATAAATTAATACATATAAACTTAGAAAATTTTTCAGTCTATAGACCATGACTAAGGGGGTGGAACCGAATAATCTCCATGGAAATGAGATATGCCCATGCTTATACAACTGCATACCAAATATCATTGACCTACCACTAGTGGTTCTCAATAAATTGACCTAATCACAAACTAATACATTTGTACATGTTAACTATGAAAAGTTTCAAAGTCAATAGACCTTGATTGAGGGGGGCTGGGCCAAATAATCATGGTAATGAGATGTGCCAATGCTAATACAACTGCATACCAAATATCATTGACCTACCACTAGTGGTTCACCATGAACTAGACCTAATCACAAACTAATTAAAACATTGTTGACGCCGCCGTTGCCGGAAACAGCATACCTATGTCTCGATTTTGACTCCGTCAAGGCGAGACAAAAATGGATAACTGATTTTCAACCATTTATCAAAATCCAAAGTCCTTAATTTCAGCAAAAATTTGCAGAACGGAATCAAACTTAAACTTGATCTGTAACTCATCATGGTTAACTCGCATACCAAAAATCAACATATAATATCTGAATGTGTTAAGAAAACAACAGGCTCTCAAGAGCCTGAATTGCTCACCTGTAATTTTTTCCTTAAATCTTCTCATCAATGATGGGGCACCTATGGCAAAACTTAGGCTGAGTGCACACAATCTTGAAATTGAAAGAGGCAGGTACCTGCGAGTTAACAGAAGAAAGGTTGTGCAAATTATGTCATAATAATAATATAGAAGACGAAAAACATTTAATCTTGCACTGTACAAAATATGAATCACAAAGAAATGTACTTATAAATATCAAAATTGTCCAATTTTAAAAATTATGACAAACAATCCAAAACTGAGGATGAATATATATCAAACTACTACTTAATAGCAAGTGTAGAAAAACACTTAGATTAATATCTTTTATTAATCAATCATTTGAATTAAGGAAAAATGTCCTGACAAATGAGTAATATGAACATTATGAAGCTATAACATACATTCAATGTATGTATGTCATTTAGCCTATTCTACATTAACCTATGTATATTTATATATATATATAACTGCAAATTTCATTGTTCGAAATGTGCCTATTAATATGCTATATAGTATTGCTTACTTGCTACATCACTACTATTTGTATACTAGTACGTTGTATGGGCTGTTGCCAATTATTGTAATTGAGTTTGTGCCAATAAAATATTTGTATTTGTATCTGTATTATTTTTCATTTTCAATATATATTAATGAGTGGCTAAGAAATGCCATTTAAATGTTCTTAGCATCTTAAAAGCAAACAAAAATCATTTTACCCCTATGTTCCATTATAGCCATAGTGGCTATGTTTCTCGACATACAAGGAAATAAAATACAAAATTCATACTAGATACTCCGAAACTCATTTAGCCCAAGTTTGTCTGAAATTGATTCAGCAGTTTCAAATGAGAAGATTTTTTTAAAGTAAGCAAACTAGATAAACAAATTGTGAAAAATTGTCTTTAAAGGGCAATAACTCCTTAGGAGGACTATTGACAATTTTGGTCTTATAAACTTATTTGTAGATCTTACTTCACTGAACATTTTTGCTGTTTACAGTTTATCTTTATCTACAATAATATTCAAGATAACCGAAAACTACAAAATGTCCTTAAAATCATCAATTCAGGGGCAATAACCTAACAAGAGTGCACACGCTGAAATGTCTCGCCTTCTTTACTAATCATTGATATTATGTTGATAGTCCTAAATATAAAGCTTTATTACAACTGTCACATAAACTTAACATTAACCAAGTAAACTAAACATTAACCAATGAACCATGAAAATGAGGTCAAGGTCAGATGAACCATGCTAGGCAGGCATGAACAGCTAACAATTCTTCCATACAACAAATATAGTTGACCTATTGCTTATAGTTTAAGAAAAACAGACCAAAACACAAAAACTTAACACTGAGCAATGAACCTTGAAAATGAGGTCAAGGTCAAATAAAACCTGCGTGACTGACATATAGATCATAAAATATTTCCATACACCAAATATAGTTGAACTTTTGCATATAGTAATAGAAAAAAAAACCAAAACTCAAAAACTTAACTTTGACCACTCATCCATGAAAATGAGGTCAAGGTCAGATGACACCTGCCAGCTAGACATGTACACCTTACAATCATTCCTTACACCAAATAAAGTAGACCTATTGCATACAGTATAAGAAAAACAGACCAAAACACAAAAACTTAACACTGAGCAATGAACCTTGAAAATGAGGTCAAGGTCAAATAAAACCTGTGTGACTGACATATAGATCATAAAATATTTCCATACACCAAATATAGTTGAACTATTGCATATAGTATTAGAAAAAAAGACCAAAACTCAAAAACTTAACTTTGACCACTGAACCATGAAAATGAGATCAAGGTCAGATGACACCTGCCAGCTAGACATGTACACCTTACAATCATTCCATACACCATTTATAGTTGACCTATTGCATATAGTATTAGAAAAAAAGACCAAAACTCAAAAACTTAACTTTGACCACTGAACCATGAAAATGAGGTCAAGGTCACATGACACCTACCAGTTGGACATGTACACCTTACAATCATTCCATATACCAAATATAGTAGACCTACTGCTTATAGTATCTGATATATGGACTTGACCACGAAAACTTAACCTGGTTCACTGATCCATGAAATGAGGTCGAGGTCAAATGAAAATTGTCTGACGGGCATGAGGACCTTGCAAGGTACGCACATACTAAATATAGTTATCCTATTACTCATAATAAGAAAGAAATTAACATTACAAAAAATGTTGACCTTTTTTTCAAGTAGTCACTGAACCATGAAAATGAGGTCAAGGACATTGGACATATGACAGACGGAAACTTCGTAACATAAGGCATCTATATACAAAGTATGAAGCATCCAGGTCATCTAGCATCTAAAATATAAACTTTTAAGAAGTTAGCTAACGCCGCAGCCGCCGGATCACTATCCCTGTGTCGAGCTTTCTGCGACAAAAGTCGCAGGCTCGACAAAAACCGGATACCCGATTTGGCTGATAATTTCAGGACAGGTGGAACGGGGACCCAGTTATTTGCCCCATTGAAACGCATTGAAAATCATAGTTAATAAATGGGGTGCTATTCGATTAATAATTTTGATAGCCACCTTGGGACTTCTGGTTCATGTTAGGCATTTGTTTTGAAGTTTCTAAGTACAATCTCAGTGCCTCATCATGACTGGCATTCCGTTGCAAAATTTTGTTTTGATTGACAACAGCTAGGGTCAGTCCGTCGACTTTCGGGGAAATTTTACTTTGCCATGGTATTTTGACCCATCCCCCCTTTTGCCATGGTATATTGAACCCCCTACTATAGACCTTTAGTTTCAAAAGTTCTGGCAATTCTAACTCTTGTACATAGTAATAATACTCGAATATGTAGTTTGTATGTAATTAACTTGCTTAAGAAAAGAAATTTTGAAAATTTTACTTTGATATGGTATTTTGACCCCAACCCCCCCTGCCATGGTATATTGAACCCCCTACTATAGACCTTAAGTTTGAAAAGTTCTGGCAATTCTAACTCTTGTATATAGTTATAATACTACAATATGTAGTTTGTATGTATTTAAATTGCTGGAAAAGATATTTTGGAAATTTTACTTTGCCATGGTTTTTTGACCCCCCTGTCATGGTTTATTGAACCCCTACAGTACTCTAGACCTTTAATTTCAAAAATTCTAGCAATTCTAACTCTTGTATATAGTTATGATACTACAATAAGAAGTTTGTATGTAATTCATTTACTTGAAAAGATGTTTTCAAAATTTTATTTAGCCATGGTATTTTGACAACCCTGCCATGTTATATTGACCCCCCCCCCCCCACTTTTACACCTTTAATTTCAAAAATTCAAGCAATTCTAACTCTTGTATATAGTTATAATACTCCAATAAGTAGTTTGTTTGTATTTAACTTGCTGGAAAAGATGTTTTGAAAATTTTATTTAGCCATGGTATTTTGACCCCCTGCCATGGTATATTGAACCCCCTCCTTTTTACACCTTTTAATTTCAAATAATTAAAGCCTTCAAGCTACAAGGTCTAGTAATAATGCTTCAATAAGTATTTTGAATGAAATTTTGTTGGTAAAGACTTCAGAGCACTTAGCTTATATACCAAACAAAGATATTTCTTTTAACCAATCATGGAAAATTGACCTCCCCTTGTATGAATGATTTTTAATCTATGATAAGCTTTAGAATAATGTATAATGTTCTAATAATCATCTAGAATGAAAAAATTCGTAAGGGTTCTGCGGAACCCAGTGTCTCGCCTACTTTTACTCTTAGTCGACAAAAATGGGGAAAAATTATTAAAAAATTTTAAAATTGTAAGAAGTTCTGTTCAAGTTTGGTAAAAATCCAAGAAGGTTTATGAATCTAATAAATGTTTTCAAAATTTTAACTGCAGACTGTACGCAATGTTAACTGGAATAAAACTAAGTCCATTTATAAGTAATATACGGAAAACAGGAAATAAATTTTTACAAAATTTTTCTTCTAGATACTAGCTTTTGATCATAAACAAGCTTCTGTCCAAGTGTGGTACAAGTCCAGGATAGTTTAAGAAAGTTATGAAAATTTGAAAAACTTTTAACCACGTAGTGAATGTTATGTTAACTGGCAGAAAAATTAAGTCCATATATGAGTAAAATACGGATAAACAGGATTTTTTTTTTAACAAAATTTCCATCTGGATACTATCTTATGATTATAAACAAGCTTCTGTCCAAGTTTGGTACAAATCTAAGATAGTTTAAGAAGGTTATTAAAATTTCAAAAACTTTAACCACAGAGTGAATATTTGTGGCCGCCGACGGAATGTAGGATTGCTATGTCTCACTTTTGCGATAAAAGTAGCAGGCTTAACAAAAAAACAGAGGGGTTCAATTTACCATGTAAATTTCATGCCATATAAAATTGAAATAGAAAAAGGAAGTCCCTGTAAACTGGGGTTAAAATGATGGGGGTCGCACCGATATTCTGACACCCCATTAGCCCTACACCCCATTGGTCCAACACCCCATTAGTCCGACACCCAACTGGTCCGACACCCCATTAGTCTGATGCCCCACAAAGGTTAATTACTGCTGTAATAGAAAATCTACTTTGTAGAATCGTTAACGTGGCATTTAAACTACTCTTTCTTATAAGTATATCACAGAAACAGATAGGGGGCCTCGGTGGCCAAGTGGTCTAAGTAGTTACTACTGTAATCACTAGCCAGTCAACACCAGAGCTCCAGATAAGCTGCGTATTTGCCTGATCACACAATATAAACTGTTATCACAGAGATATGTCTCGCCTTTTTGTAATTTTGATAATGCAAATGTTGAAATTAAAATAGCAATACTTTAACATGTAAGTAATGCAAATATTCAAAGTCGATGAACCATGACTGAAGGTACATGGCTAAACAATCTCCATGGAATGAGATGTGCCAATGCTAATACAACTGCATACCAAATACCATTGACTTATTATAAGTCATTCCCTTTAAACAAACCTAAACACAAACATTAACTTGTAAACTATGTAAAAGTTTAAAAGTCAATGAACCATGATCAGGGGTGGGGCTATATAATCTCCATGGAAACGATACTTGCAAATGC